CTACCACTCATGCCACTTGTTTTCCGACCACTCAACAAACGTCTTCACGCCTTCAATTCCTGATTTGAAATCCGAATTCTTATCCTTAGCGGGTTAACCACGTGATGTTTCTAGCGCGGTCATGTCCACCGCCGTCGTGTTGAAGATGACGATGAGCGACGTCCTGCTTATTGAACGCGACGGTGCTTTGGTGGCGATAACGTCCACGTTCGACCGTCGCATGTTGAACATTACCACCGGCACCGCGGCTACGAGAGTGACTGTCGTGGCATCGAACACGACGGTGGGGTCGGGGCGTGCCACCTCTGTCGTGTTCGACACGATGACAGCGACCATCATCGTGTTGAACACGACGACGAGGTCGTGTTCAGCACGTGGTGTACATGCCCGCGCTTGAGCGTCATCGTATTGAAGACGACATGTTGTCGCTTTCGACACGAGGACAGCGACCGTCACAGGTTGAGCACGACGGCGGGGTCGAGGGGTGCCACCGCGGTCGTGTTCGACACGAGGACAACGACCGTCTGCGAGTTGAACACGACGATGGGGTCATGTTCAGAACGTGTTGTACATGCCCGCACTCGACCGTCACCGCATTGAACAAATATACATCAATCTAACTCTACAAATAAATATAACTGATTTTATATGTAAGTTATTTTCTATAACTTATTGATACAACTTCTTGGGTTGTGGGTAGCCACCTCTGTCATGTACGACACGATGACAGCGACCGTCATCGGGTAGAACATGACGGTGAGGTCATGGGGTGCCACCGCGGTCGTGTTCGACACGGTGACAAAGGCCGTCATCGGGTTGAACACGATGGTGGGGTTGCGGGGTGCCACTGCAGTCATGCTCGACACGATGACAGCGACCATCGTCGGGTTGAACACGACGGTGAGGTCGGGGGGTGCCACCGCGGTCGTGTTCGACTCGATGACAACGACTATCATCGAATTGAACACGACGGTGGGGTCATGTTCAGCACGTGGTGTACACGCCCACGCGCAACTGTGATCGTGTCGAACACGACGGTCATCGTGTCGAACACGACGGTCGTCGTGTCGGACTCGCTGATGGACGGCTCTGTGATACTGTTGGAGAAATTATGTTGACGTCCTGAAAAAACACGAATGACGAATAGCAGCAGTGGATGGGCGCGATTGGGGGGTTGTGGCGGGGGGGGGGGGGGGGGGGGTGGCGCCTTTGAATTGGGGGGAGACTGGTTTGGCGGGGGAGCGGGGGCGGCGAGGATTTCGAACTCACCTGGGTCGAAGAAGGCACTAATCGGAGTAGCAATGCAGCTGCCGTGGCGGAGCAACGCAGCTGTCGTTCGCTTCGACGTGAAGGTGACACTGCACCGGCCTTTTGTCTGGAGCAACGCAAGGGAAAAGACCCTTGGATCCTCATGCGGAGCCCGTTTTAACAGTCTCGGACGGCACCAGCAGCCGAATCGTCGCCCCCCTTGGCATCAACTCCCACCTCGGCACCAGTTCTCCCCTCACCCGATCCTGGCCCTCAGCCGACGGATCGACGGCCCAGACTTTTCCGGGATTCGAATCGTCGCCCGCTGGGCAACGATTCTCACCGCAGCACCTGTTTTCCCCGCACCCGATCTGGCCCTCGGCCGACGGATCGACGGCCCAGATTTTCCCGGGATTCGAAACGTCGGTCCCGCGGCACTGATCCCCCCGAGGCACCGGGTCCCTAACCCACACCCCGCAGGCCGCATTCCCCCGCAGGCCTTCCACAGAAAGTATAAATAGTGGTGTGGGCCCACCATCTCCCATTTTTGCAAGTTCGTTAAGAGCAACGAAGCGTCCGTACATCGGAGGCTCGCGCAGAAGGCAACGGAGATCTCGCTCGCACATCGGAGGTTCGCGCAGCATCGGAGCGAAGTGACGAGCATCCGCATCGAAGGCAGCAGACGAGGCCTGGGAGAACGGTAAACCGCCCTGAAGCAACCACGTGCTGCCACGTGGCATCTCAGCCAATCCAGAGGTTGTCGTCGAGTCGAACTCGACGGGGGCATTGTCGAGTCGAACTCGACAATGGCCCGAGGTCATCATCGAGTCGGACTCGACAATGGGTCGAGGTCATCGTCGAGTCGGACTCGACAATGGCCTGTGTTCATCGTCAAGTCGAACTCGACAATGGCCCGGGGTCATCGTCAAGTCGGACTCGACATCTTGTGGTCATTGTCGAGTCGAACTCGACAATGGCCCGTGGTCATTGTCAAAGCGAACTCGACAATGGCCAGGGGTCGTCGTCGAGTCGGACTCGACAATGACCACAGGCCATTGTCGAGTCGAATGTCGAGTCGAACTCGACAATGGCCCGGGGTCGTCGTCGAGTCGGACTCGACATTGACCACAGGCCATTGTCGAGTCGAACTCGACAACGGCCTGTGGTAAATGTTGAAGCGAACTCGACAATGGCCCGAGGTCGTGGACGTCCCGGACTCGATAATGGCTCGGTGGCGTCGTCGAGACGGACAATATATGACGGCCTGGGGTCACCATCGAGTAGGATTCGACAATGGCCAGACCGTCGCCATCAGTCGTCGGGTCGAACACGACGGCAGGGAAGCGCCAAAGCCTCCGGCCACTGTCGAGTCGGACTCGATGATGACCCCAGGGCGTCGTCGATTTCGTCTCAACAGTGTCGAGTCCGACCCGACGATGAACCCAGACCGTCGAGTCGAACTCGACGGTGGACCAGCGCCAAGTCGTACTCCCGACGTCGAGTCGAACTCGACAAATGCCCGGGGCCGTTGTCGAGTTCGACTCGACAACGGCCATATGACATGTCGCTGCCGATGTGTTGGACTCGATGGCCCCATGCTGGCCGCTGCCGAGTTTTACTCGACGACGGCGTGCTAGCCATTGGCGAGTACGACTCGACCGTGGCAAGCCTTCTGGCGTCGGGACAAGCTCTACGAACTCGTCCGCCGGCAAGAGCCAAGGCCTCTGGCCATCCGTTTGAGCTTCTCGACAGTCCGTCATCGGCCTCGTCGCGAGGAACGTGACGATGGAGAGCCGCCGATGAAATTTGTCATTCTGTGTGTTTTCTCCTTCTGTCTTGGGAATTCGCAATGCCTGGTTGTTGTGTGTAATAGCGACGGCTCCTCGGTGTGTGAGCGCGTTCGACCTTAGCAAAGGCTCCCTGTTGTGGTCGTCAATCGTCTGTGTGTGTAGGACGTTTGCGATGGCTCACCGCTACAATTACTCGTTCCCTTTGAATGCTAGCGCAAGGTACCTGCGAGGTTCAAGGCGGGAGACAACTATACTTGGGGCCTGTAGAGAAGACTTCGACAAGGACCCTTGGATGAGCGTTACGCCCTGACTTGAAAAGCCCTTCGATGCATGGTCTGAATTGGACTGGGAGAACACAGTGAAAGACTGCCCTTGGGCATCTGATTATCGACTAGCATCCAGCCAGGAATGGGGGACATTCATCTTCCTCGACCACATCCTCGTGACGAAACACACACCGGTGTTGTCTGCGGCATTTCGTACCAGAGAGCGTTCTTTGTCGTTGACTGCGCACAACGTGTCATGTCCACCACAATTGTGGGGACCATCGATGAAGATGGAGTTGCTGGACTGCGTGAAACAAAACCAGTTTCTAGAGGAATATCCCCTTCCTTTCCAGGACAACTTGACGGGGAGTGTGTCGTACTTCTGCGTACATGTTGATCTCTGTCGTTTCTCTTTCGCTAGGGTTTTTTGTGTTTCGGTAAGAAATAGAAGTAAGACTTCAGCGGAAGCAAGTATTTACGTGTCCAGGAACGAGCTCATCGTTGATGGGGACTCGATTATGTTAACGCATGGTTGGAGGAACGGTAGGTTTGACGTGAAACTGGCGGGGCAGGTCGATACACCCCGGCATTAGAAGGAGGTCGAGGAGTATGTGAAGGTCATTAGAGACCCCATCGGTCGAACTTTAGCGAGATCATGTGGTTTCGTTCGTGCACGATACGTGTCTTGCTTCTCCTCCACTGCAACCCTGTGCAATCCACAACTCCTAACGTACGGTTCATCTCTGAACGCAGTGTACGGTTTCGGGGCGAAACGATAGGCGAGGTCGAGGGGGAGGTCATGGGAGATGAACAGTGTAGGACATGTCAGCTATTCAGTTGTTCTACAAAAGTGACACTTGAGACTGTGTATGCATGCGAGCATTGAGTTTGATGTGAGCTTGTCGACGCCGGTTTAACCTCTCTCTCTCTTTCTCTCTCTTATGTGTGTGTGTGTGTTTAGTGATCGGTGGAGCGTACTGTTAGTCGCTCGTTGCAGGTGCCGGTTGCCTGCCTTGCCAATTGAATGCCTCGAATTGATGATGGATGTAGGCTTCCAATTGTTGTGCCTTGATTGGTGTGCCTTGGTCGTGACGCCGCTTCCTATTCAGCGAAAGATGATCAGTGTGAGAAATGTGGGCCATTCAGCAACAGTGTGGACTGAGATTGTGTGTTATGAAAGCAACGGGTTTGATGTGAAATTGTCGATGCCGGGTTTCGATCCTTCTGCTCTGTTTGATGTGACTTTTAGCTACGCCGCTCCCGTGTTTTGTTTGTCTGCTTTTGGATACGCCGTCCCGTTCACGTGTTCTGCTTGCCAGCCCGGTCGGGTCGAACTGTCGCGCTGGCCCCCCACGTTCGAGTCGAACTCGATCGAGTCGACCTCCATCGAGTCGATCTCGATCTAGTCGAACATGATCGCCTGGGCTCACGATCGGATCCAACACGATCGTCTGGACTCACGATCGTCTGTACTCACGATCGCTTGGACTCACGATCGTGTCCTACTCGATTATGATCAACTCGATGTGGACTCACTGTCGTCTGTAATCACGATCGCCTGTACTCACGATCATTTCCAACACGATCCAACACGAATCGACCTCCATCGTGGCTTATCGTGTTCGACTCGATCGTGTCCGACTCGATTATGATCGACTCGATCGCGTTCGACTCGATCGAGTTCAACACGATCTCGTTCGGCACGAGGGTGAGAGGCCAGCTCGATCGTGTTCGACTCGATCGTGAGTCCAGGCTTATCGTGTTCGACTCGATCGTGTCGAACTCGATCAAGTCGAACACGATCGCCTGGACTCACGATCGACTCGAAAACGATCGAGTCGAACACAATAGAGTGGAACGCGATCGAGTCGATCATGATCGAGTTGAACACGATCGAGTCGAATACGATCGAGTCGAGAACGATCGAGTCCAACACGATCGAGTCGAACGCGATCGAGTCGATCATAATCGTGTCGGACACGATCGAGTCGAACACGATAAACCTGGACTCACGATCGAGTCGAACACGATCGAGCTGGCCTGTCACTCTCGCGCCGAACGAGATCGTGTTGACCACGGGCACGATCACGATCGAGTTGAACACGATCGCGGATGCCTCGTCACGAAGGAGAGATGTTGCCTTATCACTATCTGGAATGTTTCTGCTCCTTGTGCCATGCCAACGTTGTGCGGCCTTCTGTTTTTTTGCTTCGCGGTGATGTGTTGTGTTGCTTTCAGATTAGGCAGCGCTACAAAACATGAAAGGAGAGGAGAAGGCAAGTAAACGACGAGCAAGTAAGAATTCAGGGAGCATGGAACAATCTCCAAAAAAATCGAAGGGGACGTCGGCCGCTGGGGTTGGGAGTCTGGAGGCACCGGGGTCTAAGCGGCAACGCACCCCAGTTTCGAAGGGTGCACCTTCCACGGGCACTCCGTCGACTCGTGTTCGGGGCTCTGGACCGGATAAGGCTGTGTTGATGACTGGCGGACCTGCGGGTCAGGAACGTGTGCCTGGTCCATAGTAGGGGAGATCTGCAGTGGAGGTTATGCCCGGATGCAAACCGTCCGGAGAACGTAAACTGTCTGGCGAACGTAAACCGCCTGGTGAAACGACTGCCGCGGGTCGGCAAGACGATGTCCCCGTAATTGACCACAAGGACAAGTTTTGGATGCTGGACTGGGTGGGGGAGACCGGACAACCATCGAGTGGCCTTGTTCTATATATGGTCATCAAAGAAAATATTGTGCCGGTTGGCGGCCTGGTGAGGTGGACTGGGCAAAATGTGTCGTTTGCAACTTTCGAGTTGACGATGGTCCTGAATGGAAGAGGGGAAAGAATACCAAACATTAAACACGTCGCTCTTCGATGGGCCAAAGACGCGGGGTTTGGAAAGTCGTTGGTTGATATGTTCAACCCACCAGGGACATTGGAAGTGAAGTTGCCTAACCTCGTTGACGTCCTTGGGTTTTTCGATAGTAATGTGATCGCGGGCAGAGAGTCGGTTGTGCATCCAGAGGACCGCATATCAGAGCCTAAATGCGTGCTTTCGAGAACCGTGGAGACAGGGCCTTCGATCACGATCCGCGATACTCCGCCTGGTCTGAAAGCTGGGCAGATAGGAGAGAAGGGTCCGTGCCGCGGACTGGTCGTGCCGTCAGCCCTATGGAGACCAGGCCAATGACGACGAAAACACCAGTTGCCTTGAGCAACCGATCGCGCTATGATGTGGCCACCAAGGGACATCTCCCCTTCGTGGGCCAACAACGCTATGACTACACTGTGTCGGGCCGCGTAGAGGAAGTCCATGAGTATTTTGAAGATGAGGATGAAGATCACAACGAGGAATATTCGGAACGAGCAGGAGGACAGGAACAGTATGCTGCGGGTGTCGGCGGGATGACAAGGCATCCAGGAGAGACAAGTAAAGTGGTTGGACAAGATGAAGACAGTGAACACACTGTGAGTGCATCGGGTGGGGAGGTTGGTCCGACAGGAGGATATGGGAGCAGCTACGAAGGATATGAGGGGGATGTGCACGCGACAATGACTGTGGCTGGGCATACAAATGCTGCAGGGCTCGCTGAGCGAAAGAGGAAGCACAGGCGGGAGAGGAAAAGTTTTATGGATAATAAACGGAGTAGGCAAGAAGCGGGTGAAAAAAAACGATTGAAAATAATGCCCGTGGATGAGACGGTCCAGCGAACGCGGGAGACTGAGGCAGCCGTGAAGAAAAAGCAGCAGCCAAAGAAAAGAAAGGCAAAATGTGGTGTTATGGAAAAGACTTTTGTTTTTCCAGCGGAACAACCACAATCGGATGAAGAGGTCAAAGGCAAGACAGTTACTAGGCCGCCAAGTTTGCGAAATGTGCCATCAGTGACTTCTTCTGGTGTTCTTAGCAAAGGCTTTTTCCTTGAGTTGGACGAGCATGGGAACCAATGTCCAGACATGGAATTCATTTCTTGTCTAGTTTGACAGAATTTTAGATATCCCGGACGGGGAATTCATATACAAGCAACGCTATCTTGTGCAGCAGACGGTTGACGACATTTATGACGCAATGATTGCATCCGGTGAGGCTGCTATGAGAGAGAGAATGTCTGGAGCTGCCAGTGTGAATGTTTGTACGTTGTATGAGAAGCCTGTCCTTTTGTTGGTTGCCCTCCGTGATACATTGCATACTGACGCTTCAGGGAGGATTGTGAGAGCAAGGAGGGTACTGGCCGATGATTTCGATCTCGAATCTGTGAACAAGTACTACTACTACCCTCTCAGCGGTCAGCATAACGTGGCGGCAGGAAGAAGGTGTTTTGTTGAACGCCCTGACATCGCACAAGAGCTCCGATTGGATCGCTGGACTGCGAGGGGTTGCTTTTTGCCCATTGGTCTGTTGCAGGGCAGTTCGAGTCATTACCGGGGTATCCTCTCTCTCTAGCATCGGAAAAAGGCGGGTTTTTCTTCGTTGATACGAAGATCGTGGTTCTCTGGCCATTTTTTATGAAGAACCAAACTCCCGAGAAGGATGGCGGTTCCCCTGACGACTCATCCAACCATGTAATTCACAAGTCATGGTCAGGGGCTAGGAAAATTTATCCAGAACTGCTTCAAGCCATGCAACTACTGGATTATTGGGGCATTTAGATCCCAAAGGTTTCTAAATTATGCTATGCAATCCTAAGTCTTTTAGACACATTGTCGAACTGGACCCATAAGTGATTCCTAAGTGTAACTTGGCGATGTCTCATTGCCTCTCTCCGAGGGGCATGAGGCGGCTTCCACAAATGGATAGTGACCAACAATCCTTTGCAACTCAGGGAATTGGGCGATTTCAAGTAACGTATATAGTTTTCTTCCGCGCATAGGATTATCATTGTGTTTCGTTCCTTTTTATGAATTGATA